ATTGGATGAGCGGATGTTAACGGGATTGGCACGGGAGGAAAATGGTTTGATTGGTGGCAATAGATTCACAACAAATTGCCTTTGACACACACACGAAAAAATAAGAAGTTATATAGAAAGAAAATATCGACACGAAGGAGTCTAGGAGACAACACGGGTCGATGCACCCGTTCTCTTTGTGTGTGCGAGCGAGTCCACCTTAAAAAGGACGCTTCGTCTCGTCCTTTCGAAGGACGAAACGCGTCGATTCGCAAAATTATACCAGACAAAGGCTTCACAGTTTAGCCTAACACTTGAGTCGATGAAAAGAATGTGTAGCTTAAATTAATTCGTCTACAATTAAATAAATAATTCGCATCGATCCATCGCACTATTTTCTCAACTCTCTTCAGAGTAAAAGTTTTAATGAGACTTAAATCGAATCCTCGTTACGCTCCAAACAGAACCAATTACAAACGTTTCTGTTTTTTCTTTGGGAAAGCGCTTTTCCGATGTGCCAACACACCTTCGGGAACATTAAGAAAAACTGTCTTCTAAAATCTTAAACCACAAGAAATTATATATTTTTTTGATATTTTATGGAAACTAATTGATTTACGCAAACACGATTGTCATCAACATCAAAGTTGATTTAATTGTTTCAATATTTTGATATTAAAAATTCTATATTCGTATTGACTTGCAACTTTTTTTTTAAACAATGTTATTGTAATAATGTTATTCATTCTTTTTGAGCGCAAAGTTCTAATTTTAGACATGAAACAAACTAATGAATCCACTTTATTTGCTAGACAAGTCACCTCTATAAATTTGTATCAGATCTTCAAATAAGGAAATGATTAGAGCAGCAAAACGTCGCTACTACGTTTTACAATGAGACAACAATTATTTCGAATTGATTTTTAATTGAATAATTAAAGTTTGACCAATGATATAACATTATTTATTGTCTGAATTAATGAAGTACTGCGCACATTTTGATTATATCAAATCTGATACACTCAAAAATCAAGTCTAAGAAACATGAGTTCATAAGTTTATAGTTATTCCATATAATTATAAGGAAATAATAATTAAACACATAAATGGAAAGATAAAAAGTAACTATGGAAACAAACAGTAGTGATCATGACAATTTAACAAAATAAGGGCAAAAAAAGGTTTCCATGGAAATAAACGGTATTGAACAAATGAGCTACTCAATAACTGTAAAACAATATATAAATATTTAAGAATTTATGAATACTGAAAAAATAACAAATTATTATATAACTAAAGAAAAACAATAAATTGCAGTGTTCAAAAGTAATAGTTTGTAAATGCAGTAGTACGATAATTATTATGTTTTAAATGTTTAGAAAAATTCGTGAAAACAATATTAGAATAAATAAGTAAATTATGTAAGAAATAAAACTTTATTAAGGAAAGATCTTTGAAATGTTACCATGTCGTGTTTGATGCCTTTTACGTGATAAGTGCAAATGTCATAGAATTGGCATTTGTTACTTGTATTCCTCATGCATTTACTTGATAAAAAGAGTGAAATATTCTTAGTTTTCATCATAAAAATGAAAAATTAATTTAAAAAATTGTGATGAACAAATATATTTATTTACATTTATGCAAATTGAAACACATCCACATCAGGTTGCACGAATAACAAAACAATAAGGTAACGTAATCGTCGTTCCATTGCATTATTTTAAAAATAATGCTCAAATAATAGTAGTATAAAAGAAAGAAAACAAAAAGAACATATTGCATCAACTGTATGACATTTGCATCAAGTTTTAGCGAATCGTGTGCGGCGAAATTGAATTGAATCATCGGTCCACAGTAATTTATTTATGCGAAAACGTCGAAGCAATAAGAAGCATTGAAAATGCGTTCCGCTTCGACGTAAATATATCACTTATCGATGCATGAAAAATAGAGATGCAAAAAAAATCGTTTCCTACATTTCATTGCAAATTTTGAAAGAAAGAAAAAAAAAACGTTTCGTAACCGCAAAAAAAAGCCACACACACAAAAAGTGATTAGATATTGTGTAACAATTAAATATGAATATATGAATGCATGAATTAATTAAATGCAGTGAAATGATGATTTTTGTTTGTTTGTTGTTATTTAGGAGATGAGGAATTTCAATGACAATTTTTAATGCATTTGAAAACCTACATCTAAGCTTTACAAGGTCGTAAGATAAATAACAACGTTAAATAACAACAGATTCGAATGTACAACTTAGACTGAAAAATATATTTAATAAATATATTTGAAATTAAAGAAAAAAAATCTAATTACATAACTGAATTCTTGAATTTAAGCTAGTTATGTCACTAATTAGTCAATGCAATTCAATAACAATTATTGCTAATTGCACTTAATATAATTACCGATAAAATGTACAATAAATTATCGAATTGTAATTGCGTGCATCGCCAATTCAGAAGAAAATACAATGTAACAATAACACGATAATGAAGAGCAAAGTCTGAATCGTCGTTTAAGTAATTGTATATATTCCAGACGGTACCAATAATTATGTAAGGTCAGAATGAGTAACAATATTTTGAATCGTATTTAAATGATAAGGATAAAAAAAAACAGATATATGTTTTAATGCAAACTTTTGTTACATTATGTATAACATATACGAATATTTATACAATGGTTTATCAATTGTACAAGAACATAATAATAACAACAGCAAATGAATTGCATTTTCGATATTTACAACAATAACTGCAGACTGAAAGATTGGAAAATCATAAACAAGTACTGCAGATTATTCAGTACAATTCTAAAGTAAACAAGATAATAAAAATTCGTAATATTAAAGCAAATACTTTAATAAATATTAATTCAGACGGAAATGTTTTTTAAATTTCAAATGTATTCAATTTGAAAAAAATCATATCAAAATCAAATTGTTCGAATCAGAAAGAATAAATGCGCAGGATTGAAACAATACTTTAATTATGTTTTTCTCCTTGAAATTAATCGAGCTTTACAAAACGTCAACAAGTTAATTATTTCAGTACCAAAAAAAAAACTGTCTCAATAGTCCATAAAATTAATACAAATTTTAAATTTTATAGTAGATCAGCGTTTTTCAACTTTTTTTTCCACCTGTCACAACTGTTGAAATTGCCTTACGTCAATGTGACAGCTGTCATTTTATTATTTCATTAAAATTGCTCTTGTAGATCATACAAAAAAATCATAATTATTTAATTAAAACCTAAGTTTATTTTTTAATTTTACATTGTAGTAATCATTTAAAAAAACACCAACAATTCTAAAATTTGCCTATGTTTTATTGAACTCTTTGAATAATGAATAATAAACTGCTTCGTTTCATTAAAATATTCAACAGGTCTGTCTGTATATCATTTATAATGTGTTTTGAATATAAATATTTATAGATTCGGCGGATCCTGTTTCTTCAGGTAAAAATTTAACAGGTAAATAATTTTCGAAAGCCGCCCTACTCGAAGCGAACACTCATTGACAGATGATTGATGTTTGTCATGTGAGTAATGAGGATTCCGATAGACGTTTAATTTTGAATGACAGCTTCATTGCTCTTAATAACGCAACGCATCAAGAACGATATTGTCGATTACGACAGTCATAATATGAATCTTAAGGATGTTTGATGAGAAAATAAAGTTATTTTTTATAAATTTTTACTTTGTTATATAAGAAAAGGGGTAGTAGTAGGTTATAATTTTAGAAATTATAAATACGTTGAATAAATCGGTTCTTGGATATTATTTTCATATATTCTTCAGATCTCATCTTACTATATTGTTAAGAATGGTTCAGATCTCATCTTACTGCATTGTTTCCCCTCTTGGGTTCGAACTTAATGAGTTTTTGATTTAAGGTTGCACGGTTAACATGGGGGAAAAAAAGGTTGTGTTTACCGCACGAAACGTTTCAAAATGCAATTTATCTCTTTCAATAATAATTATCAAAAGCTGTTTATAATCGAGTCTAGGATGAACGGAATTCGAATATGTTTTGGAATAATATTTACGAAAATGCGCGTTCGCGAATGGATGGAGTCTGTCGAATTTGAGAGAGAGGCCGCATCCAAATGGAAGTCGTCGTCTATAAATATGCTCGGATGTAGATAGATGTGTGTGTGAGGAATGCGTGTTTGGAATAATATTTGAATGGAACTGTAAGCAAATAGCGCGCGCGTCCGTATAATTCGTTTCGGCGCGCGCGACGACTATTTTTAAAAAATTCGTGCAAAGTTGAACCATTTAGAGTTGAATGTTTCAAGTTGAACGCGCACATTCAAATTCAATCAATTGAGATTTCCATCTAAATGTATCTACTTTGTTTGAATTAAATGGCGAGACTGTACGATGAGGATACGGAGCAGCGTCGCTTCTATTTATTTTGTTGCTGCTGCTTCTGGTCTCTCTTCGTCGAATGCGCCACATGTTGAACGAGCGAACGCGGTGACATCATTCACCAATTGAAATACACTTTGTTTATTTAAAAATAAAACGCGGTGGCGTGATTCGGCTTCCTCGAGAAAAAAAAAACTGGTTTGATTCAATCGCTCAGTCTAGGCAGGTAGAAATATATATATGTATATATGTGTGTACGTATAATATATAAAACAACATACCGGCGTGTTACCTGTTGGATCACAACCATCGTGCTCTTTCATCTTGAACCTTTCGGTTGTTATCTTTTTCTTTTTTTGTTCTTGTCTTGTGGGTGATCTGCCGGTTGCGCGGGAGGAAGGACGTTCCGCGGATCGATAGCGGGTGCAAACAATGATAGCAAAAAAAAACCGGTGTTGATGATGCTGTATTATTATTACGTTGGAGATGCTACAGTAGAGAGATCCCACCCACTCTCGTTGCGCGTTTATTTGTTTTTTTTTCATTCTTGCCGAGATTCAGCTGTTGAATGCGCGCATTCCTGCAATGGATGCAGCAAAAGAGAAAGGATTGTAGGTCCTAGGGACTCACTTGATCAATGGAGACCCCCGTGTAATCCGAGATCCAGGTGAATATGCGGCTGCCATCGTAGTAGCCGGTCGGGCTGGACGCCATTTGGCTGCTACTGCTCTCTTCGTGTGCCGGAGGTGATGTTTTCTTCAATCCACTTGTATTACTCAACTTACGTACAATACACTCTCTCTCTCTATATATATATATAAATCTCGTGCTAGGCTACTATTACTAGTATTAGTCGTTGTTGGATATCTGCTGGTAAACCTATATCCTCGCCGTTCGACGATCTACGACCGACTATTTTCTCTCCTGGGTTGGGTCAGGACTGCACGGCACGCAGAGAGCGCCTCCTACTATCACGCCGCGGCCGCGACCGCGCGAACTGCTCTCGAGACGCCGACCGTCGCGACGTTCCCCAAAAAACTTTTACAGTTTCGCTTGCGCCCTCCCCCCGAACCGATGCGATTCTTCACCAGCCATTGACCCGTCCGACCCCCCCGAAAATAACTCCGCTTCTCTCAACACCCATCACACCGCTCTGCAATTTATCACCTAGATTTCAACCACCCCCCCAGAACTAATGTCAATTTGGACGGAAAACAATAACAGCTGATTTTGTGTACATATTTACCTCTCAACCGAGGTTGTCATTTTTTAATTCCTGAGACACGAGACAACTGTTTAACTTTTTCATAGACGATGGTGCACGAAATGAACTAACTTTGGAACATCTCTAGTAGAACATTATTATAATTTTCTTGAAAATTTGCAGGAAAGAGGAATTACCATTCAATTTGGTTGGTATGTCAAGGGATGAATCTTAATTATGGTCCAATGTTGATTCAGTTGACAAAGTTGTCTGATTCAGTTGGGTCTAGAAATTTCTGGCTCCTCAAAGAGTTAAGTCATTCCTGGGAATTCTCCCAATTTCTTTATTCTATATTATATTGTAAATAATGTAAATTGCACGAAATACAAAAATTTACTGGTATATTCTTAACAAAAATAAAACTAATTATAAAAAATGACAATATAACAAGTAGTAAACTAAATAGATATAAAAAATATATTTTTAAATACGTGAGCGCATTTAAAGACTCGTCTGAAAGTCTATTTCTTAATTTTGTAGGAAAATTTCTTACTAAATGTCCACATTCAGTATTTGTTGCTTTTGGAGAAAAGTGAATTATATATATTATAGAAGTTCTAAATTGCTAGTTTGAGTTCTTATTAAATTATTTTTTTTAGTACTTTATATCGATTCCGTTTTATAGGAGATTGAATATTTTGCATTTCCATATAAGCTGCATTAAGTTCAGGCTATTGTACGAAAATGTTTCAGAGTTATCTGAAAATTGATAAAGTACACATTTAAGATATTTTTTAGTGCCATTTTCAATTTTGAATTTTCTCGAATCTCAAATGATAATTCCTATTGATCAAGCATACTCTCAACCATCACATCCCTACTTGAATTATCCTCAACATCAATAATAATAGATTATAAACCACCCAGCTAAGTAGCATTCGTTGCTACTCAACCATATATTTATTTCAATCTCAGGTACACTACAACCATTCAGACCTTCACTATGTTTATATTGTACAGACTTGAAAGTAGAAACTACCCACATTAGTAGTATTCTTTTGTTACTTCAATCAATCGCACATTCTCAAAGAAATATGTTATGTTTAATATAAATTAAAACTCTTCATTTTAGCAAGTTTTTCATTTCCCTTGACAATTCGTATATGTTTCGTCCATTGGATCATCGTGCCTACGAATTATCGAAATGTTTCCTGCAGAGGAATTGGCATTTCCTAGGATCCAAAATTACTGGAATTATTGCCTCCGCATCGAAATGCACTTTCTCTCCAGGCGCTCTGGATTTCAGAGCCAGCAATTATCGATGCTATCGCAATGCGGCCACTGCACTACGTACATTAATTTTAGTTTATCTGAAAAAACGCCGGAATTTTTCATTGGAACACGCACAGAAACGATTTGCCATGCAAATTCAAGTTTTCCACACTTTGCGTTCATCAGGTTTACACATTTTTTTTGTTTTATTAAAAATACATTTAATAAGAAAGAATAATTGCTTGTCTACAATTTATAAAGTTTTTTTTTTATGTTACAAATTACACCGGGTGTTATTGAACACGTACAAAAGCGATTTATTTCAATATTTTTCCTCTGCTGTTATGAAATAAAAAATAAGTAATAAATTAACGTGGTGATCAATCACTTATCAATAATTTAATACATAAAGTAAACATTTTCTATATTATATCACCAAATCATTTTCTATCTGCATCACACATAGCTTAACTACGCGATCATTTGTTTTACTTAAGACAAATCACAAACACTATTTTATAATTCTATTAATAAAAAAATCTATACATATAAGAAAATGTGTATTATAAAAACCAGACAATAAAATTGCACTCTAGTTGTAACGAAGAAACACCAAGGCTTTTGTTTTAATGAGTAGAAGAAAGCAGGAAACCGGAAGCACTTAATTTACATAGGTAATTCTTATTGTGCGTGTTCCGATGCAACGGTTTTCATACTGTTTCTGTGCGCGAAATCGCTCGCATAATAACGGATATTTCTATGAACTTTACTACCATTTATATACACAGACAGCTTTGTTATCTGTACGATAAAGACCGTGGAAGCTTACACAAATATTTTTATGTAGTAATTGCTTTGCGTAAATCTTTATATTTGTATAAAGATTTACGTATTTGAAACAAACAATTTAATGTTATATGAAAAAAATAAAATAATTCTGATGTAATGAACTTAAAAATCTTAATATAATATGTTTGAAAGTTTTCTACTTAAAATTAGCGTGTGTGTAAGACAAAAGTACGATAGTTATGTAAATTAAATTAGACTTTGTTAGCGCATAGTTTATTCAATTAATGTGTATATTTTAGTAACAATAGCCTTTAAGGATTTATGTATTATTTTGTGTTATATTTATTTTACAATTTGCTTCTAAATTATTAATTGAACAATAGATAGATCAATGCATTCATTCATGAATAGTATTGAAGTGAAAGCAACCTCTACCTGTTGCATTATCACCTTTAGGATGTTATAGTATGCATATATGTAGGCAACCAAATATACTCAAATTAATATAAATACTTTATTTACCAAGTAATATACAGTTTTTTAATAAATTTATTGCGAGTTTTGAATCTGAAATAAAGATAAATTTTTTAAACTTAATTACTAATTATTCATTAAAGTGCAATAGGTTTTGCAATAAACACTGAAGAAAGTATTCTCATGCATTA